TATATTTCTAAAATAATATTAAACTCCTGTCTCGTTTGAAAGTTGAGACTTTTGAGCAGGGCAGGGAGATCCAGTTCTTGCCTTTTTTTTTTTTTATTCCTTCTCCATTCTTTCCCAAGTGGTTTGTGAATACACCTGTGGCAAACATTTGTTAGTCATGGGACTGCAGAAAGGAATAGAGAGCATTCCCTGCCTGTGGGGAGTTTACATCTACCGTGGGAGCCTGCCATGTAAATAACCTACAATTAGAGATGTGTACGAATGCCACAGAAAGCCAGCAGCAGCAGTGGTGAGCTCACTGTGTTCACCAAGGCTGTTCCCCAAGACCTGCTGGGCCTAATGTTGCCACCTCCTGATCAGCTTATCCTATGTATTTGAAAGACATGTTTGTATTTGAAAGCTGTTTAAAATTATCCCCACATGTATAGTTTTATGAATTGAGGGGCCATGTTGTTATTGTATAAGCACACCAGGGGTTGAAATCAATCCTATTCCTCTCATTGGCTTGAGGGAATTACCCCTACTCAGCCCCTATGAGACCCCTTTTTCTCCTGCCTCCTCAGTTTATCACTTTTTAAAGGGTCATTCTCGTCAGCCTACAAACATGTTATAAAGTCTACCATTTTGAAAACAAATGCTATCAATTTCCACCTCCCTCTCATCTTCTCCTTCTTCCAGACAAACTCTCCAGAAAATTGAACCTACTCTGAATCTCCACTTTTTCTTCCTCTTCTCTCTTGGACCCAATCATTGTCTTTTATCCTCACCACTGCACTGAAACAATATTGTCAAGTTGATTAAAGGGCCACCCTTTGCAAAATCTGAAGGTCAGTTCTCAGCCTCACCTTTCCCTGGTTGGCCCTATGGGTTACTCCTTTCTTAAAACACTTCCTTCACTCAACGTCCAGGACAGGAGTGTCTGCGTTTTTCTCTTCCCTTAGTGAAATCCTCCCGCTGGGTCTTCTTCCTCTTTATTAGCCCTAGCCATTGGAATGTTCCAAGGGTCGGTCCTTTCTTCTATTTCTACTCAGTCCCTTGGGGATATCAGTCCAGGTCATTGCTTTTAAAGAATGCTCAGAAGAAAAGCACATTAATATCTCAAGCTTGCTTTTTTGCATGCCTTTCTGCCTTCTATTGGATCTCCAAAATGTACAGTAAATATACCATATTTAAAAGAGAACTCACCATTATTCCCCTAACATGGTTTCTCTTATTACCCTCCCCCAGATTTCCCCGTCTCAAAAACTTCATCTTCCAGCTCAGTCCAAAAGTCACAGTCATCACTGACTTCTCTCACTTGCCCCGACCTTCAGCCCATCAGCATAGTCTGTTACCTCTTCCTGAGAAATAGATCCAGAGTCTTCCACTCTCACTACCTAACTGCTCCCCCACTCTCGGAACAACTGACTTTCCTGACCTGGAATGTAGCAACAGCCTCCTCGCCACTCTTCAGACTGTTACTTACCTGGGAGCTGGAGGGATCTTCTAGCCCATCTCATCATGTTGCGGCTTTCTTTGCCTGTGTCCTCCAATGGCTCCATGTCACTCAGGGTAAAATCTGAAGTTTGTTCAGCCCCTATGAGACCCTCCTGAACGGGACCCCTCAATTTTGTTCAGTTTCCCCCTCCCTCTCTCTACCCTAGCTGGTCTTCTGGATGAGCCACACACATACCAACACGCTTCACACCAGGACTCCAGGGCTTCATCTTCCTATCCGGATACCCTTCCATGGCATCTACATGACTAGCGCCTCACTGCCCTCGGTCTCCTCAGAAAGGACTTGCCTAAAGATCCATAGAAAATAGCCCACCTGCTACTTTCTGCCCTCAGCCTGTGTTTGCTTCATAGAACACCGTCACCTGATATAGTATGTATTTGTGTGATTGTTAATTGTCTCCTCTAGAATTTAGGTTTCTCAATAGAAATTTGCTTTGCTCATGACATTTACTCCAGTGTCTAGGGTGATGTTGGCACCTAGTAGCTGCTCAGGAAATATTTACTGAAAGAGTAAGTTGGGAAATGTGTGTGTTTTAAATTACCTGTGCCCAGGGCGAATCACTTCACCTTTGTGCCTTGGTTCCTTCCCTCTGGAAGGTACAGTACTATTTCTTGCTGTTCCAAATTCAGTAGGAGTTAATGAAATACAATGAGATTTGCATTAGGAAAGCATGTGGTAATGAAGACATAATGTATAAAATCAGTAAAAAATCAACTGCTTCCCAGTTATGTCCATATTGTAAATTTATCCTGGCTACGAGAAGAATGGTATAAACATACATAGACTCCTGTTTATCTTTCAGAGTTTTATCTGGAGTATGAAGAGGGGAGGGAAGAAACTGCGATAGTTTGTCTGGTCCCCATTGAGGCCAGGCATGTGGTGCCAACCCAATAATTGATACCCAACCCAATAATTGATACAGCTCTGACTAGTAGGAGGTGTGTGTACCTCGAGGACAGTAGCCGTGTGTTTTAAGCTTCTAGTTCACAGGATTGGCCTCGACAAGAGTTTACCAAATTGGGGATAGGACTTAATTGTATTTCGTTGTTGTTGTTGCTGAGGAAAAGACTCAGTGATGCAAGAGACTTGCCCAAGGTCGCACAGGTTTTAGGTAGTGTTACTGTCCTCTGCCAGAACCATGGTCAGTACCTCCTGCTTTTAAAAGCTCTGCCCACAGCACAGGCTGCTCAATTTGGTGTAAGTCTCTTAAGTCTGAGCTGGGCAGTTGGTTGAGTCTTTGCACACACATCTTTCCTAGGAGCAGCAGTAGGCTGTGTGCCTCCAGCATAATAGCTACTCTACAATGCCTTTTGAAAGGAGCCTGGAAAACTCTTCAGTTAGAGAGGGGAGGGAAAGGTCCAGCAGAAAGCCTTCTCCCAATCAGGCTTGACTTTGCAGCACCTCCCAAGTTTCGATGTGCAGTTTCAAGGTTTCACTATGGCCACTGCAGTTGCTATGGAGATACAGCAACAAATATTTGGAGGCCTGTAACACTTCCCTCTTCCTCCCTCCCCTCCCCAAGCCTAGTCAAGAATGTTTGGGACAAGGCTCCTGCCCATCAGGCTGCTGTTTGTGGCTGAATGCAGCCTTTGTGACCAGCCTCCTGGCCTGCCACCAGGCTCCAAAGAGATGACTCGGCCCACATCTTTCTAAATAGTGTTTGTGTTTTAGTTGTCCACAAGAAGGGGGAAAAGCTTTATATAACTTGAAGAAAATCACCCAGTCTGTGACTGATTTTCAAGACCAAAATGATGCTAAATCTCACTTTGCAAATATCATTCAGGAGAGCCTTGCCAGGTCGCTGTGAGAACAATGCAAGTTCCCACTCACTGAGCACAGCTCTGTGCCTGGAGCTCTGCTCTTCCAGGGCCCTGCACAGCCAGATAAGTCTGTGCCTTCACTCCCAGCTCCCAGATGAGGAAGTTTGTGCTCGTGAAAGGGACACAGGTTGCTTGAGGTCGGCAAGCTGGTGAGTGGTGCTGCCAAGGTTGACTTGTCCCGTTGTTACAACAATTATTGGCGGTATTGTGAAGTCCACTAGATCTCTGTTGCACAATGGCTGGCAGCTTTTCGGAGCCCCTTACCTTGCCTTGTGCTGAGTCAATCTTGAGAGAAAAAGTGAGACAGAGAAATTAGGCCTTAGCTGCAAGCTCACTTTCTTTGTTTGTGGGGTGGGAACTTGATAGGCTTGCTTATCACTGCAGGCCAGGCATTGTGTGATCTTACCGGAATGTAAGATCAGCCAGCAGGCCCTTGGCTTCCCATCTGGCTCCAGTTCTGTTTGGGGGAAGGAGGCAGTGAAGGAAACTTGACTTAACGGCAGGTGTTACTTGAGGGTTAGAAAGGTACCATTGTCTCCTCAGCAATAAACTGCCTGATTTTCACCTGCTGGCAAATCGCAAATTCACTTGCCATTAAAATACTGGGTCATTGCTTCATTAATTTAATAAGTCTTTATTAAATACCTACTGGGGGTCAAGCACCGGGCTGGGGATTGGGGGATAGAGAAATGAATAATATTTGTTTAACACGTATTTATTGAGTGTCTGCTCTGTGCTTTTGGTTCTATGTTAGGCCCTGGGGATACCACACATTCCCTCTTCTCAAGGGAATTGTTTGCAGATAAGTCAAGTAAATTGGCACTTGTGTAGGAAGGATTACTTCTTCACATGTAAGGATAGGGTGCTAAGGGAGCACCCAGCCAGGGCACTGAAAGTAGTCTGTACCTGCACTCCACCAGACATCTGTGGCTACACTTGATATGAGACTGGTCTGATTTGAGATGTGTTGGAGGTAGAAAACATACACTGAATTTCAGTCTTAGTACAGAAAAGAGAATGTAAAACACTTCATTAGCTATTTATATTGATTACATGTTGAACTGTTTAATATTTTGGGCTAGATGAAATATATCATTAAAATTAATTTCTCATTTTTTGGGGGTGATGTCTTTTAAACCCCCAGCAACCTTATGAGATATGTATTATTTTATCCTACCTTCTTTTAACTGATAGAGGGATGTGCTAATGGGTCAAATGACTTGCCCAAGGAAGGGCAATTGATTTGCTCAAAATCACACAACTGAACCTTTCTAGAGAAAGTTCATTGCTCATTTGGCTTAGAAATTGGGTCTTTCATGAGCAGGTAGTTATCTTCCCTTAGCGTGTATTAATCTCTTCCAGAGAGAGCCCAAGAGTATGTCAGAAGCATGAGCCAGTTTCAGTCACCGATCAGCTTCAGCAAATCTTTCCTGGCTGTGTTGGAGGATGGCATTTGTCCCCAGATAGCTGCTCTCCCTTCCATAACAACAGAATCCTGGCTTTTTGGCTGGCACATGGCTGCTGGAAATGAAGTCTATGTTGTCTGTCCTCCATTACATTAAGTGTTGTCATGTAACTAAGTCTTGGTCCATCTGAATGCAAGCAGAAACAGTATGTGAACCTTCTGGAAAGTTCTTCCACAGGAACATACCCTTCACCTGACTCTTCCTCCTTCTTGTTAGAGGGAGCAGCCATTTGGGGCAGAAAGTGGAAACAATGCATTGAAGAAAGCAGAACAAGAAGACAGGAAGAGTCTGGATCTCTGCCACTGTGAAGTGCTATCCCAGTCCAAGATCACCTCTCTCTAGGCTTCTGTTATATGTGAAAGAATTAAATATCATGATTATTGTGAGTTTTCTGTCATATACAGCTGACTATAATTTTAACAACACCATCTATCAAAAACATCTCCAAATATGTTGGAAATGAGATGCTTATAGTAGAGCTATCTCTGGACATTAAAATTCAAAGTCTAAATTTTTGGGAGCATGTGTCATCTTTAAAACTTTGCAAGGTCCATGTTTTAAATAAATTATTTTCCTTTTTTGGAGAAAGAAACACATGCAAAGGATTAAAAAAAAACACTCAAGCAAAATTTTAGACAATGAAAATTTATGTAACCTCTCTGTTTTGTAAATGAGACTAACATTACATAAATGAATATGTGAGTGTGTGTACATGTAATGTATGTGTTTTGATGTCAGTGGGCACAGGACTAACACACAGTAAGTGCTCAATAACTTCTGCTTTCTCTCACACAGTCCAATATGTGTCAAACGGTATAACAAAGAAGTAAAGGGGCACAAGAAATAGTCCCTAGTCTTCAGAAAGATTGCAGCGGGATTGAGTAGATGATTCCTGTAGGAAAATACAATACCCAACAAGATGAGTGTCACTAAGGTATGCAAAGAACTTGCTAAATAAGAACCAAAGTGACTAAGTAACTTTGGAGCTAGGCAGACTGGTGCTTGAATGTCATGAGCTGTTTGGGTTAGCTTTCTTTTCTGAGTCTCGGTTCCAATGGGGGCAGTAATACTGACTTCCGTGTAAGGTTGGTAAGAGTATCAACAGGAGCATGTAAGGTACTAATGTAATGACTTTGGCAAAATAAATGATCAATAAGCGTAACTAGTACGATCATTTTAGGTGGAGAGGGATGAGAGAATGCTTCCTGAAGAAAGTAACTTCTATGCTTAGATCTAAAGATTGAGTAAAACAAGAGAAGAACCTTCAAGGGGAAAAAAGTATATTAGCAAGTGCAATGAGGAGGAGAAATAAATGGCAACCCCAAGGAGTAGAAAACACATAAATTGGGTGAATGTGAGGGACTTGTAGTAGAGAGAGGAAGAACACTTGGAAAAGTAGATTGAAGTTTAATCAAGAGGGTCTTGAAAGCTGGGCCTCCCCTGGTGGTGCAGCGGTTGAGCACTGGGCTGCGAAGCTGCCTGCAGATGCAGCCTCTGCAGCGCCAGTTCGATCCCCGGCTGCCAGTGAGGGTCCCACATGGTGTGCAGACCTCTCCTGCCGCACCCACTGCTCTCCACAGCAGTGTATTTCGTCAGTCTGCCTGTTCTGTTCCCTGCTTTGGCTCTGGTGAATTCTCTCACCCTCCCATGCTTCTGACTGTACCCAGCACTTGCATAAATAAATAAATAAATCTTTAAAAAAAAAAAAAAGAAAAAGAAAAAAAGCTAAACTGGAAGTTCTGACTTCATTCTCTACCTACTGGAGAGCTAGAAGAATTTTTTGAACTTAAAAATGATATAGTCATAATGGGTGACTATAGCAAATTACTTAACTTCTTAGAAGGAAGGTTAATTACTTCTTAGAAGGAGGCTGGGAGCATAATCAAGACAAAAGATGATTAGGGCTAAAATTAGGGCATTGACGCTAGAATGGAGAGGAAGGGGTGGCTCTGAGTTGGAGTCCACTGGGCACAGTGACTGGGTAGGTGTGGTTCTTTACACACTCTTGCAAGAGACAGGAGTCGACCCAATGTGACGTCTCTGTACCCAACCCATCTTCAGTCCACATGAGGTGTTTTCCAGACAGTGTGCTTGGCTGGCCTGAGGGAGCCCTGGGCATATCTGTCTAACAGGACAGCCCTGCTTTCTCCTCAGGTTCCAGGTTCACCTCAACCCATGACTCAGGTGAGAGGCTGACAGATTGGCTCTGTGACTGTGGAGATGGGTGAGTCATGTGCAGCAGAGCAGTGCCACCCTACCTGAACCAGAGCACCTTGTATTATGGAATCTAGTAGAAAGGTTATCAGAACAGGTCTGAATAAGCCTGACTTGGTCATTGATAATTCCTTGAACTCTGTGCATAGTTGTCTCTCCATCTAAAAAAATGGGCCATCTCTTTAATATCTGGGGCAATTAACTTAGGCAACAAATTCTCCCATCGGTTCATTCCAGCACCAATGACTGGGACATCCTCTTTGCCAGTGTGCTGGGAACAGAGGAATGAGCACGGCATAGACCCTCCTTCAAGGAGATCAGATTCTGTTGGGTAAATAGATGTGTAAATCAAAGAACTAACAGAGAAATAAACTTTCCAATATATAGTTTTGCATTCACTAACTCACTTGGGTTGTCTTATGTGAGGGAGAAACAACTTACACCCATTTGACAGATGAGGAAACTGTGGGCATGATTTATTTGCTCTCTCTGATCTCCTGTTGTCCTGGTCATAACTTTGTCCCGGGTTGGAGTTTCAAGTGTTTATTTTTCATCATAAACTTTAAACTCATTTCAGAAAGGGCTAGCTTATTTCCATTTTGACTACCACATCTAGCCCAGACTCAGAAAGAGAGCGTTGGCAGGCAGAGGGAGGGGAAGGGGGATGCAGCTAAAAGTTATGGAGCATTGGCCAAGGGCAAGCTTGACTGCACGCCTTACATTTGTTGTTTGTTAGTCTACAAAAACTCGGCGCAGTGGGTATTATTAACTGTTTTATGGGAAATGTGCCAGAGGCTGAGATGAGTTATGGGATCTGCCTAGGTCACATTGAGAGTAATCTGAGAAGTTTCATACTCCGAGATGGTCCAGAAGATGGGGGTGTGTTTGTGTGGGTGGGGGGGGGGCGGTGAGAGTGAGGGGAACTGGCGAAATGGGTGGAGCGCCCAGCCTTTCAAACCCAGAACCAGAGCAAAGTTCCTGTAGAACATTTAGCTGCTCCCCAGAAACATCTTCGTTTATCAGAGCTGGCTCCTGCTCTCGGGCTTGCGTTGCCATCTGCCTTCTTCCCGCTGCAGCACCCAGCTGCCCCCACAGACTTCCAGCGAACACTTGCTGAATAAATGCTTGAATGGGAGAACAAAGGCATGAAAAAATCACAAATGCTGAACTGTTGCTACATGCCAAGGCACTGGGGTAATCCGTTCATTTATGCTTTCTCTTTTCATCCTCTCAACATCATGATGAAGTCAGTACCACACTGCTCCCCGTTTTATAGAGAGAAATTGAGTCTTAAAGACTTGGTCTGAAGTCACAAAGCTGGTAAGTGGCTTTGAATCTGAGGCTGTCAGGCTTTAAAGCCTGAACTGTAACCACTATTTAAAATGATAGATGCAGGAATGAATGTTAACTCAGCTCTTCTGAAAATGAGTCTCTCGTAAGGGCCACAACAGTATTTGCTACACCCCCACCTCCCACCCAAGGCAGGGGTGTCTTCTATTCACTGACTGGCCTGACTCCTGATGAAATAGCCTTCTGTCTGCCAGTTCCCCTGGGAGGGTCAGAGCATTTTCCAGTCTCCTCCTGGATCTAGTGATCTAGTTCCAAATATGAGGGCTCCCCCAAATTACTTGCTGAGGAATTCCCTCAAGAATCCCAGTGGAATGTGACCAATAGAGGTCTCAAGAAAGCAGGCCAAGTAGAGGAAATGCTAATGAACAGGAAACTGGGATGTAAGAGAGTCCTGAGTAAGTAGCATGGCAGTGATAATATAGATAATGTGAACTTCAGCTTTATCAATAGGTGCATAGAGTCAGTGAAGCAGACTCTGTGGTCAGAGTGGAGCTTGAATATGGGCTTAAAATCTACTTCCACACTTTCAGATTGTCATAGTCAAACCCAGGACTGTCCAAAAATAGCAGAGCTAGAATGTGGGAATGATGTTGTCCTCCTTATAAAGGTTAAAGGACCTATGTCTCTTTTTCCTGAGAAACAGCAGAGGTGAGGAAGTTGGGAGAGTGAACCCAGCCCTCCTCTATCACTGTGTTAAGCTTGGGCAGATGCTTTGTTCCCAGAGGTTTTCTTACAAACAAGGCAGTGGATTTCTTCTGTCTGAACCCAGAGGAAACATATGAACTCTAGAAAGGACATAATAGAAAGCTAGATTTAGATACAAATTGAATAATGCTTTTCTACCCATCCAAAAGATAGCCATAGCAGGAAATCATTTTGAGGAGAAAACTTCAAGGAACTTATGTTCTCTCATCTGTGATCCTGCTCAAGGTTCCCAGTTTTCCTGACCCTTAGTTTTCTTGTCTGGAAGTGTACGGGAATCCAGCCTATGAGTCTGTGGGGCCCATGAAGTACAATGGTTTCCCATTTGTCCCCTGGACTTGGACTTCTGAGATTGAAACCTCAGCCTAGAGCAACCTTGCCAACTTATTTTAACTTTTTGGCACCTTAGTTTCCTGATCTGAAAAATGGGGTGAATATGTGTAAAGCTACAGTACTGCTATCAGTCCAGCAGCAACTGCAGTACCATATAAAAGTGACTGTCAACACTTTTTGTTAACTGTCAACACTTATTGTCTAGAAGATAATAGATGTTCAAAGAATGCTTCCTCTCTCTCTTCCCTCTCCCCTCCTCCTCTGGGGAACGCTTCTAAAGTGTCTGTAGGATGTCAGGTTCTTCTGTTCTCCAGGATTCTGAAGAATGCTTCTGGATGGTGCAATACCTCTTTATAGAGATTCAAAGGCAACTGCCTTGCCTCCATCTAAATCCTCCTTTAGTGAAGAAAAATGCAATGCAAAAAGAAAGCCTACTCCGACTTGTAGAAGTTCCCCTTTCTTAACAGTGTACTTTGCAGTGTTTCTACATCCACAACCTCATTCCCTTACCAGGACATGACCAGGCAGGCAGAGAGCGCCCATGTGGAAAGTGAGACTCAGAGAGGTTCTGTGACTTACCCAGGGCCACTAGCACCTAAGCGGGTGAACCAGGACTTGAATTTAGCACTTTCTGACTTCAAAAACAACAGCATATATGTCAGACAGCCCCCAGCCCCTGAACCCTGGCTCCACACATCCTCCTGCCCTGGGATTCTGCTCAGGAGAGCATGTGAAGGGCACTCAGCCAAGCTCCAAACCTGGAAGCCAAATCCTAGCAGTATTAGAAATGCCCAAGGAAGAGAAACAGGAGCCTGG